TATAGTTAACGTATATACGTTATCTATATTGAGCCCAAAACAATGTCATTTTGGAATGTAAATCAACGTATTTTTGTAATTATAATTTATTTCAGGGTTATAATAGTCTTTCTCATTATAATTTTTTAATTTTTTAACCCAAAACGACATCATTTTGAGAGTGAATATAGATAATTTATCTACATTTATTGTAGAATCATTAAAGCCTTAAAATCATCTATGGTTGAATTGTTGAGAAAATTAAACAATTTCTAAAAATATAAAATTAACTGAAATTTGGCATAATAATGTGGTAAAATCATTTATGAGATGCTGTATTACAGCAATTAATCTTGATAATTGATTTCTCACATTTAGTTTTTTATTTATTATATTTATTATTTTCACCCACCTTTATATGATTATTATTCTTTAAATTTAATTACTATATATATATATATATAGTAAAATTATTTCTGCAGCCGCTTTACGTACAACAACGACAGGTGTATGGTTCTGATTCTTCACATTTAATGCTTTTATCTTTTGTATGATTATGATTCCCAACATTTAATGCTTTCATGTATATATATGACAATTGTTGCACGTACAGCAGCCGCAGAAATGTATACCCCTATATATATATATAGGAGAGAGATCATTTGACTCAAGAGTAAGACTGAGATTTAAGAAGTTATAATTTAAGAAGTTATATTAATTAATTAATTATTAATTATACTATTAATGACAACCGTTGATTTCCGTCCATCAACGGCCGGGATTTGGAGTAAGACTTAAAAGTCTTACTCTGGAGTCAAAAGAACCCTCCTCATATATATATATATATATATATATATATATATATATATATATATATATATATAGGGGTAGGATCCTTTTACATCAGTGTAAGTTACAGTCTCAATTTTGATCATTGATCTCACTTATATCTAAGGACTCTAATTTTTTAGTAATGTGAGCCATTGGATACAAGTGGATCAATGATCAAGATTAAGTGTAAGACTTCTAACTCTTATATCCTGCCCCTGTATGTATGTATATATATATATATATATATATATATATATATATATATATATATATATATATGTTAAGGGTAGGATCAACTTACACCGGTATAAGAATAATAAGTCTTACACCAAATCTTAACAGTTGATTTTTGTACATCTAACAGTAGAAATTTATTGGGAGTTTTAATAATTAATTAATGAATGTGACCCAATAAATGCTAACTGTTAGATGCATGTAAATTAATGGTTAAGATATGATGTAAGATTTATTGTTCTTACATTAGTGTAAGATGATCCTACCCTTAATATATATATATATATATATATATATATATATATATATATATATATATATATATATATATATATATGGGGTAGGATCTTTTGACACCGGTGTCAAATCTAAAGTTTGACACCTCATTTGAGAGCCGTTAGATAAAAAAAGATCAATGACTCTGATTTGTAAGCATGTGACACCATTGATCTTTTTCGATATAATGACTTTCAGATGAAGTGTCAAACTTTAAATTTGACACCGGTGTCAAAGGATCCTACCTATATATATATTTACTTTTAAGTCTTACTCCTTATCTTAGTCATTGATAAACGGAAATCAACAGTTGTCATTTGTAATATAATTAATAATTAATTAATATGACTTCCTAAATTATAATCATTGGATGATATATATATATATATATATTTTGATAACAATATATATATATATATATATGTATATATATATATATATGTATATGTATATATGGCAATATTGGAGAAGAGATGAGTTTCCTACACATTCAAATTCATGGTAGGGCCCACACATAAAAAAAATTATTGCACACAAAATGAACTCTAACTAGCATGAGAAGAGAACTTTCCTACAACATGAAAATTCTTTTATCTATATATATATATATATATATATATATATATATATATATAACAACCCTGTTAAAGTTGAAGAAATTTGAGCCCCAGCTTACTCAATAAGTATCAGTTGCAGAAATAACAACCATGTTAAAGTTGAAGAAATTTGAAACCCAGCTTACTCAATAAGCTAAAACTTTCAATAAAAGTTAATTTTTGTGACAAAATCAGTTTTATTTGATTGGACACGCAAACGGATAGAATCCCAAAAGGTGGCAAAGGTGGTAAATAAATTAAAAATGGTGTCTGTTTCTGAAAAGAGGAGCATCCGGCTTCGATGCAATCTATGTTGATTCACCCTTAACAAGGCGCGAAACCATAAAATAATTCTGTCATAATTTCGTATGCTATTGTTGCGGAATACGTTCTAATGTGCAATTTTTTTTTTTGCATTTATATTTTTAATACATTGAATAAGTGGTACTTTTTTAAAATTCATAAAAACTTATTTAATGATATATACTCACATTTTCATGAAAAGTTATATTCTAATAATAATATGCGAAATTATCACCAGTGTAATTCTCCTGTCTTTTTCTCCAGTGTAAACAGAAAATAAAAGGACATGTTTGGTTTTTATTTTTTATCTTTTATAAATTTTTTTAAAAATAAATTATTAAAAAACTTGTTTATTAAAATTTGTTTTGAGAATAAATTTTAAAACGTGATGCTGTGATTATGGTGTGAGTAGATTGAGTTAGACTAAATTTTGACATAAATAAATCAACCAATATAAAATATTTTAAGTTTGACTTGATATATTTTTTAAAATTTAAATAGGGTTTATTTCTTTTGCAGTAGATAATTTATCTGTATTGATCCCAAAACAATGTTATTTTAGAATAAAAATTAAGGTATTTTTTTAATTTTAATTTATTTCAGGGTTATAATAGTCTTTATAATTATATTTTTTTAATTTTTTAATTTCAAAACAACATCGTTTTGAGTGTGAATGTAGATATTTTATTTGCAATCACTATAGAAATATTTTTCTAATTTAAATATCTAATCTATATTATTAATTTATTTAAGTCTATTAACTATTAATAATTAAAAAATAAATAAATAAAATAATATTATTTATATTTATATTAATAATATTTTTAGTTTATTTTATTTAAATTAATAATAAAATATAGTCCAATAAGTTTATAGTCTAAGAACACATTTGATAGATAAAATAATAAAGATAAAATAAGATAAACTATCATATCATATTCTTTGGTAAATCATCAGAATATGATAAATTTATTATGTTCACTCATTTGATTGCTTGATAAGTTACCCAATAGGGCTTAAGTTAGGATTCAACCTAATCCCCCCACACCCACCCAAACAAAAAAATTAACCATCTACCTTCTTAACTTTTCCAAATCTCTAACTTTATCAAAAAATTGTAATATACATAAAATTTGACAATCAATTTAAAACTTATTTTTAAAAATTTATTTGGTAAGGATGTATTTTTTATTTTAATTCTTTTTACAATTTTTTAAAATATTTTAATACATTTTATTTAAAATTATGACTTTTAAATTTTTTGAAAAATAAAAATAGGAGCTAATATATAAATAAGTTTAAAAATCAATTTTCAAAACTTTATAGATTTATCTTATAAAAGAATATTTTTGTCTATTTATATCATACCCAACACTATTTAGTTTTTTTGAATACAATATATGATAATATAATTATATCAAACTATTTATTTGATACACGTCAAACACAAGATATAATATGAAATTATAAGACTCGTGTTCTTTTCTACCTTTATCCATTCCTCTTATTTTATCTCGTGCATCAAACGATTCCTAAATATCTTAAAAGCATGTTAATTTATTCTTGAGTCCAAGCCTATTATATGTCAATAAATATAATAGATCAAACTTTGGCTAACATAGGTTAGGTCATATGTTCTCAAACATCATTTGGCTTATTTAAACCTATTTTGAACCTGAATACTGCATCAATAACAGACCCCATATTTTCTGGCAACTACTAGATAAAAATTCCACGTATTTTGATCGAACGCATCACTCATGAAAAAAAAATGTATTTGTTCCGTATAGGAGACAGAGATATCTAGTTCAATGGACTGATAAGTTGATCTTGAATCTAGTACTCTCTTCAAGGTATTTATGAAAGAGATATCATTAAATCAAGCAAATCACTGTGCACAGTAAACAAATAACGACTTTGTCAATGAGAATGTGCGTGCGTTCCCAGTGACAACATAATAGTAAGAGAGAGAACGTAACTTACCTTAAGTGTTTACCTTTTATTTATAGGAACTGTGCGTAGTATTAGGATTAGTATCTTGATGGATATTTATCCATAATTATACTTAGATTTAAATCTTGGATTGTCCCTTGTTGGACCTGTCAACGTATGAGCCCCTTATCTGGGTTCATAACAGAAATAGATCCTCTCATGTGAAAAAAATCATGATATGGTCATGTGGGAAGATCACAACTATACAAAAGTAAATCAACGGTTATAATTTCGTAACTACTTATTTTAACATTTTTTTTCTCTTCTTTTATTATCATTGATTCACTTTTGTATGGTTATGATTCTCCACATGACATGGTTATGTGAATTTTCACATGAGAGAATCTAGATCCGTCCATAACAATATTCTTGTTTTTTATTCTAAAAAAACAAAAAATAATTTTTCACGATTATCAAACAGATATTTCCAAAAAAAAAACAAAAATCAGGTAAACAAATAAGCTTTATTTTGTATTTTAATTATTAAAAACAGATCATAAAACATACAATTTTCCCATCTCAAAAGCAAAATATTTGGGAAATTTTGATATTGATATCAAATTTAAAAATTTGACAATAAATTTTATCCATTAATTTTATAAATTTAATAATCATAATTTATTGAATCATAAATATTAATAAAATTTATTAACCTAAACGGTTAGTATCGCGAAAATACATATTAAAAAAAAAAAATTCTCAGGTGAGGAGCCGATCAATCTAGCCGCCGAGGCTCTCGTCGTCAAAATATTCATTTCGGAACTCACCAAAGTCCCTTTGTCTCTTTCTCTCTCTCTTTCTCTTTCTCTTTCTCTGTGTTTTTGTTTTCTTTTTTTACTTTCACTTTCTTTCTCTCTTCTGAATAAAGCATATAAGACCCCGCGTGAACGTTCACTCTTCTCTCACTCGCTCGCTCTTTCGCTGTTTCTTTTCTTTTCTTTTGTTTTCGTGTTCTGACTGTTCCAACATCAATAAACACAACAGGATAGGATATTCGTGTAGCAGTTTCTCGCTTCATGGATCCTGACGTCGTTGAAATTCCTCCCCCAATTCATCGTTCTTCCAGATTGATGAAGCAGAAACAGGTATCCCTGCTGCCACAGTTTCAAAGTTTTCATTCTTTTTCTTCTGAAATTCGTGGGGTTTTTATTTATTTAGTTTTGGTCTCGTGGGGGGTGGTTAATTTATTCAAAGTTTTAATTTTTCTTTTAAAAAAATTAAAAATTTTAATCTGGGTTTTCACTTTTCAGCAGTGATCACTGTTTTTTTTGTTTTCAGTTGACCTGATTTTCCTGTTTTTACTTTGAAGTCAATGGTTTTGCTTTTGTTACTCTTAGAATTTGTTTAGTGTGTTGAGAATGTCCTGGTTGCAACATTGTAAATGTTGGCTAGTTTATGAAGTATCCAGCTTGGTTCGCTTTGTTTGTGGCTTTTGAATGGATTATGGGTCTTCATTGATGATCACACTATTGTTACCAAAAGGAATTGGGGTTTAGGGACTTTTGCTGTATTCTTAGAAAGGGGCTATGCTATTCTATTCTATGCATAACCTTTGGATAAATTTCCGTTTAAATTTTTTATAACTGTAGTGTTGACCATATCCTTTTTCTCCCAAGTGTTGTTTGTGTTACTCAAGAATAGGTGTCTCCTGTGATGGAGAAACTTCCAAATCATGTAGTTGTTTCTTCTTAGGTTGTTCTATTATGGGAATATGTGCTCTACATGTTGAGTTGCTGATAATATTTTGTTGATATGATTCATAGGAAATGTAAGGTTATATGAACTTCGTTGTGGGGGCAACTTGGGGAATGGTGTTTATGGGATATGGCTGGACATATTTCTTAGGATCTTCAAGGATAATATATATGCCACTGCAAATTGGGTTGTGTCAATTGCATTTGCCCATATATTTTCTTAAACCAAGAAAGAATTAAGAATTAGTTTATTAATTTGTATTCTCGTATGGCCAGATCAGGTGAACTAAACTATTTGTGCTGGTATATTTATTTATTTCCCTTTGTCCTATTAATTCTAATTTGCTTGTGGCCATATAAATAAGACAGTTTGATTGAGGTGAGTTAGTAGATAAATTAAAGTACCTCTCTTAATTTGTTAAGGACTTGGGAACAAAGTAGTAATATCTTATTGGTGGTTGATGAAATCAAGACAGTAAAACTGATATAAGCATGTGTGATAGGCTTCTGTTAGCATCACTACATTTTTACTGTTAGTTTGCTCCAATGGTAGATTTGATATTTCTATGCTATTTTCCCATCATGCATATGGTGTTTTTTATCCTCTGGTTGTGACTGGCCTTTGGGTATCTGTTATTATTAGATATGATGAACAAGTCAAGAACTACTTTTGTGTCATTTATAGGTAAGTCTGTTGCAGATGAAATGTACATTGTCTCCGACTCTCCGAACTTAGGAAAATTTAGAATCAAACAGTTTGTGGTTTGGGTAGTGGTATGCTGTTTCTTTTATTTGTTTATTCCTCTGATGTTTAGGTGCTTTTAGTTTTTTCTGTTATCCTGCCTGTTTCCTCTGTGTAAATATGTGTTTCAGTTATTGAAACTTGAAAGTAGGAACATGTGTAACAGTTGGTCCTTTGTGTTTAATTTGTAATTAGAATTTGTCCTCTTGTTGCAATTATGGGAGAAACATAAACAGAACATTGTGTTTTTAGGAAAAGTAAAAAAGACGCCAAGTGAGGGAATGCTTTTCTATAATAGTATTGATTTGTTTTTCTTTTTTCTACTATATGTGAAGGTTTGGACTTGAGCTACTTGCTTTGGTCTCTTCTCTGGCATAGTTATATTTTTAAATAAATCATAAATCTCCCCTTTACAAGAGGGCGAGCCTAAAGCAATGGTAAAACTGTTCTTTTTTGATTGAAAGGTTATGGGTTTGAATTCGAGAAATAGCTTTCTTTGCAAATATACAAGGGTAAGACTGCGTACAAGGATTGCTCTCACCCCTACCCTCACTAGTCGGGGTTTAATAGGGAGTGGTTTTTTTACATAAATGTCCCCTTTATTTTGGAAACCTAGAGAAACCTTTTACTTGCAGGAAGTTTTTGGAAAAATAAAGAAAAATCAAGGTTGGATTTTGTAGGTTTATCAAGGTATGGTTTTACAGTTTGGGGAGGTTTGTTGGTTTTTAAAATAGAAGGGAGATTTGTTTAAGGGGATTCCTTTGGTACTCTTTTCTTTGATATAAATATATAATTTTCTGCACTCTTATTTATCCTTGTTTTAGGAATGCTTCTACAAATCTTTCTTTTCTTTACTCGCTTATAACAATTGTATTTACTTTTCTAGGCCATTTTGCATGACGTGATTGACATTGACAATGATGATGATGAGTCTGCGGATTTAGTGATAATTGGTGAAAAAGTTGGTAAAAGTAACAAGGGGAAGACAATTGAAGCCGTTCATGATGGTTATAGTGATCATCAAGTTGTGGTTTGTACAAGATTTGTTATTTGTTATTTTTTTGCAGCAGATTGATATTATGTTTTCGAGCATGAAAACGACTCTTAACATTTTGCTTGGAATCCTTTTCAGGAAGTGTCTGATTATACTTTTTTTCAGCCTGATCTGGAAAATTTTGGAGCAGTTAGTGGGATTGGGTCTTCTAATGGTTACCCTTCAGTATCACATAATCTAATCAATGTTGATGGTCATTGTTCTGATCAATCATATGATGATGATGACTACATTGATATGTTTACAGAAGATTATATGGATGTAGATGAGTATGCTTTATTACAGGCACACTTTGATAATGTGGATATACCTCCTGGAATTGAGGCTCCTTTTACTTGGTTGCCAGAATATGACTTAGGTTTGAACAAGGCTGGAAATAGTACATCGTATCCTTGGTGTCCTACGCAATCAGATGCTAAAAATAGTCAGGTGTCGGCCTCCTCTAAACCTTCATGGTCATTAGAGCCGACTAACTCTAAAATCCAAGGATCTTCAGCGGGTAGTCCTAATTTGCAAATCAAAATGGATAATGTTCATCACTCTTCTGGAACAGAGTTGTCTTCTCCTCAATTATTTTCTCAATCTGCCCCTAGTAAAAAGAAATCATCTACTTCACAACGCAGAGGGCGCGATTTGAATCTTTCATTAGGAGTAGAGTCATCTAAGTCTCATTGGTTTTTGGGACCTTTCCAGAGTAAAAAGAAGCCTGCCACTGCTGGTGCTTCAGCTAACCATGGTTTTGTTGATAATTCAGAGGCATTGAAGCTGCCAAATGCAGGTCAGCCACCATATTCGCGGCAATTTAAAAGTGCTAAGAAACCAGGTGGTAGTAGCAGTTCATACCAGTCAAATTTCATTGGACATCATGGATTATTGCATCCTCCAGGAATAGAATCAGAAAACCCTTGGTGGAAGAATTCCCATAATTTTAAGCCATTAATTAATAATCATACAGCTAATCCAATTTATTATCCATTTGATCCTCTTCATGCCCCTCCTGAGCAGGTGTTTGATAACACCTGGGTTCACACTTCTGCCAGAGATGGAAATAATAGAACAGCTGTGGATACACCTCTTGTGAATATCTCTGATGAAGTCAAAGATGAAATTCTGAAGAAATTCCGAAGTTTTAAAAAATTTGACACTGTTGAAGACACTTCAGACCATTACTTTATTCGCAATAATTCGAAGCAGGTAACATTTATTTGAGATGCACTTTGTTTCAGTTCCAATCTTAATTATTTGGCTTTACCATGAACCTATTTCCTGAACAGAATCCAAAAAATTGGGCTAAAAAAATCCAGGAAGAGTGGAAGATTTTGGAGAAGGATTTGCCAGGTGACTTAGTATTCCTGTTACAAATTAGCTGTAATACTTTCCAGCCTTGTCATATTGCGTTTGGTATTCAATTTCTTTTCAAGCTGATATGGGCTTGTACTGTGTGGGTTGTCTCCAGTCATTGTTAATTTTTTTTTATAGAACTCCAATCATGGTTGGTTCCTGTCATATCCAAAGGGCATTATTGTCTTGGTCAATTTTCTTTATGTATATCCCTATGGAGGAGCGCTTGTTAATTTTTTCCTCAGTGGAGTCCAGATACTTGTTCTGAAATCGGATGTTAGAACTTAGAAATAACTGTGAAATTGTGTTTTAAATACCATAATGTGCATCCTGCCAGTGGTGTTTTCCTCAATCTCCTTCTATTTTTGACTCTTTTTCTTTTATCCCTATCAGATTCAATATTTGTCAGAGTTTATGAATCAAGGATGGATCTTTTGAGGGCTGTGATTATTGGAGCAGAAGGAACTCCTTATCATGATGGCCTTTTCTTTTTCGATGTTTTCTTTCCTAGTGGCTATCCCAATGTACCGCCGGTATGTGGTTGAGGATGCTGATTTGACTGACTTTAGTTCATCCTTTTTTAATTCTAGTCTGACTCAAGGGACATTTTTCATTGCAGCAAGTCCACTACCACTCTGGAGGTCTTCGGCTCAACCCAAATTTGTATAATTGTGGCAAAGTATGCCTTAGCCTACTTAACACCTGGTCTGGCAACAAGAATGAGAAGTGGCTTCCTGGTGTTTCAACAATTCTGCAGGTTCTAGTCTCTATACAAGGTCTTATCTTGAATACTAAGCCTTACTTTAATGAACCTGGATATGCACATATGAGTGGTTCAGCAAATGGTGAAATGAAGTCCCTGCAGTATAATGAGGACACATTCATTCTCTCATTGAGGACAATGATGTATATGATAAGAAGGCCTCCAAAGGTTTGATTCTACTCTTGGTTCAATTTTTTTTTTTTTTTTTTTTTTGTATATCTAGCATGGTATTCTGTTACTAGATGTTTGTTTTGCCATATTCACTTGTACCTCCTTGGGTATTTTTTTTTTCCTAGGCAAGCTTGTGCCTTTTAGAAAGCAATGGAGAGGAAGATGAGCAAAAGAAATAAACATTGTATTAGATAATATGCAATTTTTGAGAAAAATAAGTTTATTGCCTTAAACTTGTGTACATTCCGCCTTTATTTGGGGTTCAAAATTTAACTGTCAGAGTTATTTTTGGTTTCAGAATTTCGAGGACTTCGTGTTGGGGCATTTCTGCAGCCTAGCTCGTGATATTCTGGTGGCATGTAAAGCATACATGGAAGGTGCTCAAGTTGGCTGTTTGGTCAAAGGTGGGGTTCAGGATGTTGATGAGGGTGACAGAAGCTGCTCAAAGAGATTTAAGGAGTCTTTAACTGGATATGTGAATATGCTTGCTAGAGAGTTTGCACAGATTGGAGCTAAGAACTGTGAGACATTCATGTCTCCAGCAACAACAGTGAACAAGCTGAAAATTTCCTGAGGCTGCAACCTGAAAATTTTCTTGGAAAACCCAATTTTGAGACTAGACACAAAAGGCTTATTACATCTATTGCACCTAATTTGTTTTATATTTGATTAGTTAAACTCTTGTTATGAACTATCTTACTTTTCATGAACATTGATTGAACAATGCCTGCACATAATTGTATATAGTTTCAGATAAATATTTAATGCATTATTAGGATGACATAAGATTCCTTATTATATTATTTTGGCTTGTTATGTGTTTGCTTATGTTTTTTGTATCCTATTCTGCAAAAGGGTAGCAAATTTATAATGAGGAGCTCCATATTTATAATGGGCTTGCGTTGTCAACTTCTTTAATTTTGTGTTAGATTTATGCATAAAAAAGTAAAATGAAGTAAAAAAAAAATGTGGCTTATATTTTCTATCTCCATTGTATCTAACATTTAATTTGTACATAATTAATTTATATAATTTATCTAGCTTACTCTTAAACAACTAGTTGAGCCAAACGTGTTCTCCTACAATGCAATCATCAGAACTTACACTCACAATAACCACTAGCAACTTTGTTCAAGCAAATGTTAAGACATCCACGGAAATCAGCTCAAAATCCAATTTTGCCCGACAAATTCGAATTCCCATTTGTTATTAAGTCTTGTAGAGCATTTTTTTTTATCTATTTTCTTTGCTAGCAAACTGACTTCTAAAATTTAATCAATGCGTACCATGTGTTCGAGCATATGGCTGACCGCGATGCAGTTTCTTGAAATAGCCTAACTTTAATAGTGCAAGGGCTCCTATACAAAATGCATTGTAGGACAATCATGTATGCTGCGTGGCATTGGACAACTATGATGATTGTCTTGGGCAATCATATGTGCCAAGTATGGTTGCATAACTTGCATTGATGAAGCTTGGAACTTGTTTGATCAATTGATTGAAAGGACGTGATTTCTTGGAGTACCATATAATTGTAGGAGTAGTTAATCATGGAAAAGCTCATGCAGCAATTGAACTCTTTCAAGATATGTAGAGAGCACGAAAATGAAATCATTTACTCCACCCATTTCTCCTGTTTTAAAGAAAGAACATGTATTACATAAGTGTGTTATTTAATTAAGGGAACCTACTTCAAGCGCATAAATACACAAACTAATTAATTTTTCTCTGATTGATTTGTTATTTCATATGATGTGATCATAATAGAGTGTTGGAAATTTACTCGCATGTAATGGTTTATGTAAGAAGAAGTTAGACATTTTAATTAAGGGTTTAATATTTCTCATGTTATAGGAGATAAATTTATCTTTTATATATACATAAAAATATGTGGAGTTTATGTTTTTTCTTTCTCTCTCCTCCTCACTTGGGTGATAAATTTAATTATTGTAACATGAAAACATTAAACTCTTTAATTAATATTTACCATATTAAGGTGACATCATCTTTTACCTTTACAAGATAAAAGAAAAAACAAGTATCATGTTGCATGACAATCCTTAGATAATGTTATAAAGACAATCATTGTGGAGTTTACCATTTTTGAAATAAAAAAGAAAGAAAGAAGATGTAGCACAATTATCTATGTATATGTAAGAAACTCAACTTTTGTCTTGTAACTTGACAAATGCAAAGCTCCAAAATAAATTAATAGTAATTATTTTTTGCGGTAACCTCACCTCTTGAGATAACCGAGGCCTAAATTGTCACTATCTCAGAAGGTGCACTAAAGTCTTCCTTGCTTTAACGTGTTCTTTGGTCTTGACTCTAGAGAGGACGTATAATATGTGATTGACGACTACGACGATTTGTTCCAAGTCTTTGTGGTCGTTCACTCCTAGTCCATGATTTCTCATATCTAACAAAGGCTATTTTTCTTATGGTCGAAATAACAAGTATAGGTCCTTATCTATCTTGACAAATATTGGAGGAACATCGAAGAAAATGTCTTAAAAGACTGAAACTAGTGAACGAAATGAGTGGGATCATGCTCCAACGACCCGGACAAAGACCAAAATGCCATATTATTCACAAAAAATTATTTGAATGTCACGGATTGCAATTTTTTTTCAAAATGCCACGTCACCTAACTCGCCACAACATCTGGCGAGTTAGGTGTGGACACGCGACAACAGGTTCATGACCATATAAGCCGTTGCATAGTACAGCAAGACTACGTGGCAGACAGTGTGTCAAACTTACTATGCTGTGTAGCATGTTACGTGCAAGCTTGGCATGTTACGCGTGAGACACATGTCAAACTCGCTATGCTGCATAGCATGTTACGTGCAAGCTTTGCTGACACGTAACATGCTATGCAGCATAGTGAGTTTGACATGCTGTTTGTCACGTAATCTCGCGGCACTGCGCAACGGCTTATGTGGCCATGAACTTGCTGCCACGTATCCACACTTAACTCGCTAGGTGTTGTAGCGAGTTAGGTGACGTGACATTTTGAATTTTTTTTTGCAGTCCGTGACATTCAGATAATTTTTTGTGAATAGTGTGACATTTTGATCGTTGTCCCACAACCACTGTTGTAAAACCCGGTCCAACCCGGTAGGGGTCGATCCGGAACCCGGCGAACCGGTCATCAGACCGGTACGAGTCAAGCATTGAACTGGTCATGCATCGATCCAGTCAAAACCAGGACAAAATTGGCCAAACCCGGTGACCCGATCGGGTCATGCATTTAAAAAAAAACTAAAAAATCAAAATTGTTTCATCTTATTAGAAAAAAATGTAAAACTCATTTTAAAAACTTTTTATAATTTTATTTGCTAGTATACTCTTCTACAATGACCTCAAATTTTAGTTTTCAATATTGAAGCAATTTGCGGAATAATAAATTAAAGAATGTGACATATGTCATTTTAATGTAGTTAAATTTGAAAAATATGAGTTCAATTCATTGAGAGATATGTCTATGGGGATTCTGAGTTGTAATTTAAATTGACATTGTAATAGCGTGCATTTTTATTTATTTATGTTTCATGTTTTTGAGCTTATTTAATGAACCTTGTTTAATTCATTTTAGATATGAAGAATATAATTGAATTTATATGTTCATATTTATATATATTTTTATATATCTATATATATCCGGGTCAACCGGTCCGATCAGTAACCCATCGATCTGACCAGTGATCCAGTACCCTGATCGGATTGATGCCCAAGTCGGGTTTAACAACACTGCCCCCAACAACCTTTTGTTTCTATTTATTAATTTAATTATATACTTCATTCATCTTAATTGAATTCATGCATCCAACATTAGAAAAGGAATGCCCAGATGAATATTGCTATTTTCATAAGTTCCTCATAACATCACTAAAGGAATAATTGTGAGATCTTGTGCATTCAAAAAGGAAGTAAATAAATGAGCTGTTTAAAAAAATAAATAGGATTGAGTTAAGAGGAACTTGTGAATTAAGAGTTTGTGAAATTAACACTTCTTCTACCAAATTACGCTGGTCATGTTAATAAATCTCAATCATGTGGTACAATGTTATTAAACCCCACATGGGTATTGACTCGGTTGGGGTACTGAGTTACTGGATCACTGGTCGAATCGGTTGACTTGGATATATACATATATATATATATATATATATATATATATATATATATATATATATATGAATATATAAATTTAATTATATTTTCTGTAAGTAAAATAAATTAAGCAAGGTTCACTAAATAAGCTCAAAAGTTACCTAATTGCACTTTTACAAGTTCATAAAATACAAATAAATAAAAATATATGCTATTACTACGTCAATTTAAATTGCAACTCAAAATCCCTATAAGCATACCTCTCAATGACATTCAAAAGACCAGATATTGCGAACTCATATATACATTGAAATGACATATATTACATTCTCTTAATTTATTGTTCCGCAAATTGCTTCAATATTGGAAGTTGAAATTTAAGGTCATTGAAGAAGAGCATACTACTAACAAATAGAATTACAAAAAAATTTAAAATGAGTTTTACATTTTTTTGACAAGATGAAACAATTTTAGTTTTTGTTTTTGTTTTTTAAGTGCATGACCCAACTAGATCACCGATTTTGACTGGGTTTGGCCGATTTTTGACCGGGTCGGATACATATCTAATCCGATGCTTGACTTAAATCGGTTTGATAACATATTCACCGAGTTTCGGATCGGGTTGGGTTTGAGAACTCTATAACTTTTTCTTTGGTTCATAGAAAAGATATATGATTTCCTTTTCATAGTAATTTTTAAGTATGGTATTCTATAGGCATTTCAATAATTATTTAACATGTATAAGATCGTGAAAATTACAATAAAAATATACTCATCTTTAAAATTAATTTTACATATATTAAATAATAATTTAGATTCTACCATATATAGTGCCTTGTTTGTTTGAGACTTCTCTCACTGCCACCGGATGTTGGACACAAAGACTTCAATTATTTATGGCAGATGCTCATGGGAAGCAAGTCAAGTTGAAACATAATATTGTGTCGCGTTGAATTACGTAAATCCAAACAAAATTGATAAGTGATATTTCAACAAACTTATTCGAAGAAATTAAACCAATTCAATTAAAGCATAAAATGTAACACGTTTATTAGGTAACATTATAAATTAACCGTTTGAGCTAATTAATTTGCCAAATAGCCTCATGAAGTTTTAATTTAAATAAATTACTCCTTTGAGTTTTAAGTATTTGGCAGTTCTCAAAATTTTCAGTTTTCTTTATAGATGTAATGGCAAATATTTTTAAGCACTTCCTAGTATTGAGAAATAAAGTTGTGTGAAACTTAGGATATAGTTTAATTAAAATCTTAGAAAAATAGTGAATTACTAAATATTTGATGTTCAATCAAGTATATTACCAAAAATTAAAATTTAAAGTTAATTAATTTGCCAGAAACCTAATGATGAAGCAGTCAATTTATGATTCAACCATTTCAGGCAAAAAAAAAAATTTATTGCAATTTAAATAAATAATTATGAATATATAGCTATTTTCATATTATTTACGGATCTATTGCAAGATGTCACGTCCGGATTGGACGTGACACTCATGCCTAAATTAGGAGTGACTCGTCTAATATTGACACATAGCACAAAAAGTTAACAGTTTAACCATAAAAGTTCGAAAGGTCATAACTTTTGACTCGAGTATCCAAATCAGGTAATTTTTTTTGATTTCACATAACTCTTTGAGATC